AGGGGTCATATCTCCCCGTTTTTATTCATTCACAACCATCAATCTCTATTCTCTCTCTAAAAGCTAGAAGCTTATTCTCTTTCTCTATTCTTTTTCTAAACCTTCCCTCTCACAAAATTCCATATACATTAGTTCTACACACACCTAGAAAAGTTCGAAGTTTCCTTCTCTCTAGACATGAAAGGTTTATAATTTCTGAGGGTTTGGTCCCAAAACTGTATTCAATTATCTAATTTAATTTGTTTGTTTATTATTTTCCTTGAAGTTACTAATGCGTGTATTTTGTTATTAGAGAGAGACACGAGGCATCCAAGTAAGTAATTTGATTGTTATTATTTTGATATAGAAATCATGCTTTGATTATTTTGATTCCTAGTATCATGTTAGGATGTATTATGATTCCTAGTATCATGTTTAGGGTAATATCTAATATTTCTAATATCATGTATGATGCTTCTTATTTCTTTCCTTATATCATGTTAGTATCTTGTTAGGACTAAATAATTGATCTTTAATGTTTAGTGACATACTAGGGTTTGTTATTAATCTTGTTAGTATTATGCCTAGGATCTTGCTATTATTTTTATGATTTATTAAGAATATCATTATTTTGATGATGATTGTTATTATTGTTGCTTGATATATATTGTTATTGTTATTGCTTGATCACGCCTTTTATGCATGTTTAAGGGAATTTGTACTTGTAATCACGCTTAATAAGATAATTAATAATCTTGTTAGGGCTAATATGATTACAATTCAAGTGATCGTCAATAATAGTTTTGTTTGTGCATTAATATTAAACCAACATAGATTAAACAGGTTTAGGGTTAACCTATTGATTGCTTGTTAGTCAAAAAGCGCACATGAATACGAGAAGAATAAAGTAGACGCATATTTTAGGGTATGTTCAATCTCTTTCAGGTTGGATTTGTTCCTTCATCCCCGAATATCCAGTCATGGTTCTAGACCACTATGGAGTTAGCGATCTCGTAGATCGTGAAGGGGTGTAACCTTCATCCTATGAACGGTTTACAAGTTCCTAAAACTTGTTGGCGACTCTTTTACTCTAGCTTCCTTCCCTTTGGACGCCACCATACTTAAGTGTATGATCACAGTGGGGCTCAAGTGTGGGATGCTTGAAATATTCCCTACACTACATCACCAAATAAATACTAAGTATGCGAACTTACATCAAATAAGCTCTTAAAATAGCTTAGTACACTACAACGATTCTCGAACCAAGTGTCCTACATAAAGGGATCGTAATACGATATTAATTACCCTTTAATACATAATTTCCAGCAAATTAAACTCACTTTAAACAACTTATAATAATCTGAATATTATTTTAAAACCCCTAAATAATCCCCTCTTTAATGGGTAATTAAACCCTTTCATTAAATTCACAATTCTACTACTTTAAATAAAATTCCAGCAACATTATTTGATTAAAACTCCCTTAAAACTATATTAAAACATACTTTTTTGCACAATTAATCAATAAAATCATTAGGTATACAAAAGCCCCAAATCAGTTTGTATAAAAATCTTTTATAAATTAGAAACCCTTACTTTAATCATATCAAAATCTGAAAATAACACTCATAATAATAATATGAAAATATAAAATAAAACATTTAAAATATGATTTTGATACTAATTAAACAAATTTTAAACAATAAAACCAAAATCATAAAAATAATTATCAATACCAATTAAAATAAAAAGACGGGAGAGAAGGAGTAGCCACGATGGTGGCGGCTGGAAGGCGGCACCGGAGTTCCGGCTGGACGGCGGCAGGACAACGGTGGGTCAGTGGCAGCGAACCCAAGTGGCTGAGTTCCTACGTGAAACAAAGAGGAAAAAACATAAAGGGGAAAAAGAAAAATAAAAGGGAAAGAAGAAAATAAAAGAAAAGAAAAATAAAATAAAACTTACCCTTTGATTCTTGAGTGACAAAATTTTTGGGATCAAAAGGATATTTATAGTGTTAAGTAGGTTAGAATTATTTGGGCTCAAGAGATGATATAAGGGAGGAATAATTGGCCAAATAAATAAAAAGGATGATTAGGCTTTTGTAAACATAATTTGTAATTGGTAGAGTAAGTATTGATCAAATTTAAAACTCATTACTTAAAACCCATATTTAAAATTATTTTGGCCCAAAATATATTTTATAAGTAAATAAATAATTATTAAATATGTTAAAAATACGGGGCATTACAGTAAGAGGTGGTAGTTGTAATTTGGAAGTAGTAGGATGAGAAATAAGAGAGTAAGAAAGCAATTTTGACAACAGTGGTGGTGGGGGAGGAGAGAGAAAGATGCGGTGTTTAAAAGAAAGACGCGGTGGTTAAAGGAAAGAAAAAAATCAATGGTTGAAAGGGATTTGACCGGCGTGTTTAATTTGTGGTGGGTGACGTAGAAATGGAGGTGGGTGGGGATTTGGGGCCAGATTTGTGTTGTTTGTTGTGGGTTGTATTGATGTTGTTGGTGGGTAAGTGGGAGGGAAGGTAAGGTGGTAGTAAAGGAGGAAGGATGAAGGAGGTGGTCATGGAGAAAAAGAGAGGAGATCGAGGGAAAGAAGAGGGATAGGTTTTTATTTTATTTTTATAAAAAAGATTTGTAAATTAAAAAATAAATCAATAAGAAAATAACACGTAGGCAAGGTAACCGATTATACCGGCTTGGCGATCTACTTGGTTCAATAAAGGAAGATGGGGTTCAAAGGTTTGATTATTCTTGAATAATCCAAAAGTTCGTTTATTTTGGGAGATTGGGGCAAATGTTGGATTATTTAAAGTAATTTTTCCTTTATTTAATTAGTAGATAAAATAGAATGTAAAAGTTAGTTATAATCCATGAAAACCATGATATGATGTGAAGGCCTAAAGGACAAATCAATCCATTGAAGCATCATCTAAGAGCATTTCTAGAATAGTTTTCTTAAGATTAGGGGCCATAATAGATCATAGTTATTTATTGCATTAGTAGATTATGCATGCTAGTTTATTTTATGTATATAGATGATGTTGTGCTATATTTCACTAAATAATCACAACATAATAAACCTAGCTTCCGCTTATATTGAGATTGTTTTTTCAATCTAAGTACCTAAAAACCCTTCAATTTTAAGTGATGGGTCGTGCCAAAGCAAGGTTTCATTTCAAATTTTAAGCACTTTGCGGAAAAAATACTATTTTACACACTTAATTGGTTGGGATTGGTTGTGCACAACAAGATTATCGAAAGGGTTTAGGATCTTGATGCAAAGAGTAATAATTAAACATGAGATAATTAATTATTCAAAGAAATTTCACTACCTTGCGTGCGATGCCACAATTTATAAGACAAAAAGTCAGATTGATAATTTTTTTTTATCACAAAACAAAAAAAGAGCGATTTCCCACAATATTGTTACAACAAAAATAATTTCCCTTTGTGCATCGGTGTTAAAAAAAAATTCCCAAATATTGTCTACATAGGATCGATGTTGCGCGTTAATTTATAGATGTTGGTTCAGCTTAAATTGTAAACAGCAATAGCGGTTGTAGTTTTACAACCACTAGTAGAAAATTAAAAATTGGCACCGCCAAATGGCCACCGGTTTGGTTTGAACCAGTGGGGAAAAAAATAGGAAAAAATGGGCGGGATTTTGTGGGATGGGTATTTCCACCTGTTCGGTTTGTGGGGGTTTGAACCGGTGCCAATTTCTATTTTTCTACTAGTGAACCGCTTCTACAATTAGCGGTTCTAGAAATAAACCTCATTTTACTAATGACCGGATTTTGCCTCCTTCGCCAATATTCATTAACAAGTTCAAAGATACAACATTTCAATAACATGTCTATTTGACTTTATTTACAAAAAAAAAATACATAACCACTAATATTGCTAGTGATTTTAATATAAAACCGTTGATGACATTAGCGGTTATAAGTTGAACCAAACACCAATTCTATGTGAACGGTACTTTGAAAATTTATTTTTAAATCGATGTATAATGAGAATTTATTTTTATATCGGTGTGTTAGGAAATTAGGGTGTAATTGTGTTTGATTAATGCAGAACAAATCAATGAAAATAAGAACGAGAAAAACAATAAAGAAGATAAACAAAGAACACAAGGATTTATGTGGTTCAACTAAATTTAGACCTACATCCACGAGTGAGGGATTCGAGAGCTTCTTCACTATAATGAAGAATGAACGAGAGAATAATACAAGGAGTCCTAAATCTAATGGCTCAAAAGGTATGATCTAATTGATCAACTAAAAGGTCCTTTTATAACACAAGGAAACCCTAATAAAAACCCTAAATTGTTCCCCCAAGTATATTAAAATAGCCGTCATAGAAAAGATATAATTTTAGGTAATAATCCATAAATTATCCTAGAAGAACCGAACTAGCGAGCTATAGCTTGGCAGCTAGCTCATGCATGCGACAAGTCCTCATAAGGTCGAGGTATAGCTCACTAGCATAGAGCTATAGCTCATCTGCTCGTCGCAAATTTCCAGCTTCGTCAGATTTTTGTAAAACGGTCATATTTATTAGAATTGGGCATATGACCTATTGTTGGAAAGCTCTTGAACCAAGCTATCACCTCTAACTTGAATCACCTCAAAATCACTTGTAGTTTGACCGATATTAGTGTTCAAAGTCTATCCTACTAGATTTCGAGTCACAATCTAACACGGTGCATAATGAGAATTTATTTTTGTTTCAAGAAAATTGTTGGAAATCCTGTAAAAAAAAATAAAAAAAATGTTGGAAATCACTCACAAAAAAGTTGGCAATGATAAAAAATTTGCCAGGATTTGTGCGTATATTAATGAGGTAGTAGCACTTCCTCTTTTATCCATTTCAACTAATTAAATTATTTCGGGATTTTCTGTATAAGTATAAACCATTGGCTTGTCAGCAAAAGTAATTTAGCTTTATTTCATAGTTTGTACTGAACTGATATTTCAATATCAAAATTTTAAACATGTATACAATTACTCAACAGACCATATTATTGATGTGCATCCCACATATCATAAAGATACAACCATGAAAAATGTTCTGAGAATCTCGTCAAAAAAAAAAAAAAGTTCTGAGAAAGCTTTATTTGGAGAACTGAAGCAATCGTACTCAAAATTACATAGTGTCAAATTAAATGACTACATATCGCCAAACTTCCGCAACTAGTCAACAGAAGCATCAAAAACGGAGCAAGAATTTGCTGAAACGTTTTGCTATTGGTCATCTGACCAAATATTATGAAGACGCTGATGCTCCATATGGGAGGAGAGCTGCCGCAACTATTCTACCTTCCTCATTCAAAATGTTGTATGTAGAGGCAGCATTTCGCTGAAACAAAACAGATGAAGCATGAGTGACAAAAGTTTAGTATACAATTATTTGAACTTTAGCAGAACTTGGACAAATACATATTGATACCACTGCAGTTTGGCACAGTGGAATGAAGGCTCAAGTGTCAGAAAGTTTCAGCATCACAATTTTCCACACATTTAACAAACAAATTTGTTTAAAGCAGCACATGAAATATGGTAGAATGGATGCATTTCATTGATAGCATGACTAGAGTACTATAGACAACTAATTACCAGGAGTGTTCAGTTTACAAAATCAAGGTACAAAGGAGCAAAAAAATAGAGTGCTATATAGCGCAGGATTCTTAACATTCAAAAGGTTCATAATATTCATAGGCATTATAAAAAAAAATAGTGCTAAACATTTATCCATAGCATCAGTTAAAATGCATAGTTTTGGTCTTCAACTTCTTTGACAAGTGATAACCCCGAGGATATTTCCGCTCAATGTATCCAGTAAACCTCTTCAAAAGACTTTTATTCAGAAATTCCTAAACATAAGCGATTCATTTGAATTATGCTAATAACTAACCAATGTTCAAACAAAGTAGTTAAAATAGAATTAAAACACTAAAGCAAATCCTTAAAGCACAATTACCGAGTCAACTGCTTCCAATCTTATGCCTGCAGAGCGCAAATAGCTCCGGAGTTCAGAATTTACTGGTTCAATGTGTCTTCCACATCCAAGAATTAAAATTTCTGCAACACATCACAAAATGGAATATTCAGCATACATCTTCCCTCTTCTCCACTTCCTGTCATATTGTTGGGGAAGCTGAATACAAGCTAAACATCAATGTGACAGCAATGTAGCACATAAATAGATTAGCCCATGTAGGCAAAAACAACTAATATGTACAGTCTATAGGCAGTAACAGGCAACAGTAGACATGGAATCCATTGCAGGAAATGAGTTAAAACATCTTCTTTAAGGGTTACCTACCTTCAGGGGGAAGATCAATGTAAGTCATCTCCGTATTATTATGTTTCCACCGAGACTTTTGACAGTATCATTTGAGGCTTTAGGAGGTTGAAATTTTTTGGACATTCATGCAAACTTGATTCACAGGTAAGAAATCGATGTATATTTTCTAGCAAGAGTGAAATATCCACCATTTCATAGCATAATGGTTCTCGTATAAACTTAAGTTTTAATGTCATAACATGGAGTGAAGTAGAAAATTTAGAATATTATTATAGTTCTAATTCTTTAAACTATATACTTCGTATTAAGTTTTAATATTATTAAACTTGACTACCTGAAACTTTTCTAACAAAGAAAGGAACAGCAGCTATAGGCCTATAGCCACATGGAAAGAAACCTTAAGCCACTTACACTATTTTTAGAAATTCATCAGATAGCGAAATCGAAATAAATAAGACTGGTTAAGAAGCCATGCTTGATAAGGAAACCCTTGGTCTAATTCCATGACGTGAGACGAATTGTAATGAGCATGGAAAAAATTAAACAATCACCAAATATAAAAATTATGGGGCTTTTAAAGCCCTAAAATGACCTTAATTGGTAGTCAAACCATAGATTCAGATTCAGCTACCACAATTATAGACAATAATCCTGATGCGTATCTGTGACTCTGTGAGAATACCACAAAAGTCACACACTATTTCCCTACCTTTAAAAAGTATTGAATAAACTCTTATGAATAGTATTGAAGATGATTATGCCCCTAAAAATGTTTATTTACATATTTACCCCTTTTAAAAGTATGACCACACTTTTATACTTCCTCCGTTAACTATTATTTGCAACATATATTATAAATGGATGCTAACTATTATGTGCAACAAATGTTTTCTTTCCTTTTTAGGTTATCATTTCTCTCTATCTCTCTCCTCATCACATACACCCAACTTTTTCTCTCTCCATTTTACACTCACAAACAAATTTTTCCTAGAAGTCTGCAAACACCCCCTTTGTTGCAAATAATAGTTAACGGAGGAAGTAAATAGTGTTAAGACGATTATGTCCCTTAAATGTATATTTACATACCTGCCCTCGTTAATGTTTATTGTTTCTTTTAAAACTATTAAGAGTGCATGGACATTTATACCCCTAAAAATATTTGTTATATACTTTCCCTCATAAATGCTACTAACAACTAAAGTTATAACATAACATCAAATCAAAAGAACTTCTCGGGCATGGCTAGCTATGATACGCGCATCAGGCGTTAGGCGCCTTAGTTATACTAAAGTTGCAGCTTCCAGAATAAAGGAACAGAAAGCAAGGAAGCAGGGCTTATATTACACAGTATCCTTCAATGCAATCAAGCAACTTCATGAGGAGCACTTTATTCTTAAGACAAGAAACTTCATGTGTTCAAAAAATCAACATACGAATAAGTACAATTAGATCTATAGATGAAAAGGCGACCACTACTCATAAAATACTATTTTTTATCTTCCTTTCACCAACATTCAAAAGCATTTAGAACACCATGCCACTTATAGTTTGACTTTTCTCAAGATATCATAAGAAATGGAGTATAACACATTAGCAGTTTCAGCACAGCAATTTTGTCAATAAGCTTCATACAGCATCTATAAGTTATATTTATTGACAATATGCCTTCATTACCTGGAATAGGCCGAAGAATCTGGAAGATGGACAAACTATAGCAGAAAGAAAAATGACATGTTAATTTTCTGAGAGATAGGTCAGTAACGTAAAATATTATGCTACATAGTATCAGACAAAATATGCACCAAGGAAGTACAATTTGGGCAATCAAAATTCAAAACTGCATATCATTCAATGTTTACAATAACCGAGGAAAAATACAGCCTTGTATATTTAGATCAGATCAGCTTTATGCATTATGCAAGAAGCCTTCTTTTTAAGTACCTATGTCAAATTCTCAGCACTCCCACATGGATATGATATTCTACCCAAACACAAAAAATTCCAGCAAGACATACCAAAGTCGTAAGGGTCATGGTCCAAGTATCTTGACATTGGTTTGTGCTCAATAAGGTACAAGGCAAGGAAAGCCAAGGAACAGAAGCAAAGCTTTCAATTCGAGAAAGGATCCTGATTGTCAGCACTAAGGCACATTAAGCGGGAGGCATTGCGACGTTGACAACGAAAATGAGTATTTATAGAAGTGACAAAAGGAATATTAGCACGAAAGCAATATCAACATGCTAGGAATTAGCTCCCAAACAGAAAGTAGGCAAGCTAATTAGATAGAAAAGGATAGCTAAGAGGGATAAGTTGTATTATCAAACTGATTGTTCAACAATACAATGCCTTCTTAGGAGAGGAAGGTGCTCTCCAACAAGTCAATAACAGACTTCTCAACAATATTCAACATGATGATTATTCCTCCTAATGAGGTCTATATATAGAAAGACTTTCCTAACAAACTCTAGCTTATTCCCCAAGTCACTAATAATAGACTATGACTAATATGCCCTTCTCCCAAATATTAATTCCTTGCAATACCCGCCGCCCAAACTTTCACCTTGTCCTCAAGGTGGTTTATAATCAGCACTTGAATCTTGGCCTTGGTAAAATTGATCTGTAATCCGACTTTTGAACGGGCCCCTACAGAGAATGTGCTGCCATGAGAGTTGTTGCTCAGTGATAAGAATTGGCATTCCATTCAGTGGCTTAATTGTAATAGAAAAACTCAGCAATTTGTTATGAAGGGTAATTGGCTTTTGGGTGAAGTAAGTGGTGGTTGCTGTGAGATAACTTGTGTGCAAGTTGAAGAGAAATAAAGTACAGCTTGGTCCTTGGATCTGGTTGGAAAACGTTTGAGTGGGTGGATTGATAGCAATAGGAGTGGGCTGAAAAATTAAATGAGAGGAGTGGGATAAGTAAATCTTGTTGTGAGAGAATGGGTTGTGAGCTAAAGGTTTTAGCAATGGGCCTTGTGAAAGGTAATCCCATTTCCTCCCTTTTACCCTTTTCAAAAACCCATTCAACGTTTTGGTATGAAAAGGACCCCCAAGGACTTTCCTCAGCCATGATATTATGAGTTTGGTAATTGACAGAATTACCCTTACTAGCATAAATCATTTCAGACTTCCTCTTCAAGCCAACAAAAGACCCCAAGCTTCTCTCATACTCCATTGTTACTGGAAATTTCTGCAACACGTTCCATGGTGCCTCGCCACCCAAAAAATCCTCACCACCAGCGCGCACACCCGGGCCACCACCAGATCCACTCCTCCGGCACCACCACGCTCGAACACACCCCCTGGCAATTTTCTTGCGAGACCATTACAACCAGTACTCGGTTTCTCGCCGGCAACACCTTGACCACTGCTGTCCTGGCCACCAGATGCGCCGATGGTAAAACCTCCTCCGCCAGTAAACTCGATGTTACCACTGCCACCAGATCTGTCGTTGCCTCTACAACCACTCACCGTCAATTTCGGCCCCTGATTTCAGCTCTTCTCCGATCGGAAACCAAATATCCCACCACCACCACAGATTTTGATACAACCTCCTGACCACCACCCGAACCACAGCATCCGGCGCCACCTCTCTCAAATATTCCACCATACAAACCACCAACAAAACCACCTGCCTTATTTATCAACCCATTGCTCTCAAAATCACTGCTAACACCACTCACAAAAGGCACACCACCACTGGTAAATCCACATGCAAACTCACTACGGCTTCCACTGCCGGTGAAATAGCACAGTCCACCTCCACGAGATCCTCCACCACGTTTCTCCACCATCGCGCCACCAGAGAAGCTGCTAATGATGGCTGCAACTCCTCGCCGGCATGGATGTCCTCTAGTACTTCCTCCTCCTCCATTAAATCTGCCTGGATCTCTTCTTCCTCAAGCTCGTCTTCCATTTCCTTCAACTCAAATTTCATGGAAGAGAAAATCGGAGAAAAAACATCATCAAGATATTTCTCCAGATTTCGTTGAAGGTTATCAACAATTCTCCTTCGTGGATTCCTCCATCCTTTCGGAGAATTGCTCAAGTGATTGTGACCAAATCGGAGCTCCGGCGACCTTCATTTTCAATTTTTTTTTTTTAAATGGCTGAAAACAGAATTTCAAAGGTTGAATCTACCATAACTGCTCTGATACCATTTGCTAGGAATTAGCTTCCAAACAGAAGTTAGGCAAGCTAATTAGATAGAAAAGGATAGCTAAGAGGGATAAGTTGTATTATCAAACTGATTGTTCAACAATACAATGCCTTCTTTCGAGAGGAAGGTGCTCTCCAACAAGTCAATAACAGACTTCTCAACAATATTCAACATGATGATTATTCTTCCTAATGAGGTCTATATATAGAAAGACTCTCCTAACAAACTCTAGCTTATTCCCCAAGTCACTAATAATAGACTATGATTAATATGCCCTTCTCCCAAATATTGATTCCTTGCACAACAACCCATATGCTTAGAACAGAAGCATTGGTTCTCATTCATTAATAATCACTCCATCAAAAACCTTTATTTTTTATTTAACAATTTTTTTTTAAGTGTAATAGTAATGACTCTAAACTAGCTATAGGTCACACCCAAGGGTCAACAGATGGGAAACATCTAACATAAAAAACATAAAGGAAAGTGTTAAAGGAGATGAAGCTTCTGCATCAGTGACAGCCTAACATATGTTACCACTTCTGATGACAATGTTTAGAGTGGCATCAGTTCGTTCTACAATGGTGTCTTCTGCCCATACACCTAGATGTCCACGCATCACAGCTTGGTAAAGCACTACTGCCTAGGGGGGATTCTTCGCCCATTGTGTAGATCACGTAGAAGAAACCCATTCTTATAGCTCTTGATATCTCCTTTTTGTTCGTGCACTAGCATTTGTGCGGGTTTCAACATAGTACACACTTCTGTATACTATCATTTCCAAAGGAGATGCTTGCCATCGGTTCTTTTGTGTTGTAAAAAGGGAATAACCAGAATCTTTAAGCATCATTTCTCCCACATCATTAGACAATACACGTGAGCAATTTACCGTACTCTTGGGTGAGCTTGGAGACATAACTCCATGGTAATCGTCTTTCCCAAAGGAGTACTACATGAGTTTATGCGCCTGAGATTGTATTTATCTTTTCTCTCATAATCTCACATTGAGAGCAATCTTACAATTCAGAAAACAAATCCTTCATTCCTTTTCATTCATGCCTTGAATTTCCAACATGCAAGCTATGTATTCATTCACGTAGTCGCAAATAGAATTCTTATGCCCAATATCATGTGCCTTCATTCCAAAGGCAAAAGAATTACTAATTTCAATATCAGTTTGGGTCACCATAGCTCAGCATCCCATGACAAGTACAGGACTAAAGAAATGACCACCTTTAGGTTATCACTTAGTTATCATATCCTAAAGTACTGCTCGATGTCAAATAGAAATATATCATCTATGAATTTGTAGCGCAACTATAATCATAGATTTTATCTTCATCGGATCAATGACACCGATGAGATCATCACCTACCTCGCGCATAAAGAGTTCACCGGTCCTCACTCATTAGTTACATACTATGTGTAAATTTTGATATTATTTTGACATTGAATTGTGCGATACTCTCTTACGAGACGACACAAAAGCAAGCCAAGGGTGAGCAAGGCTTGTGCAAGCGTATTGACCTTAGCAAAGCTTTGGATTTCAATGGCAAGAATCCAAAAACAGTGGAAGAGGCTTGTGCATGAATATGAGCATAAGAAAAGCTATTTATTTATAAAGAGACACCCTTAAGAGACAAAAGAAGATCAATCAAGACGCTTAGGCACAACAATAATGAGTATGTACATGACAAACAAATGAAAAATAAATAAATAAATAAAGGTTAACATAGAGGCAATATCAACAACCTTGTCTGGAAAAACCCGGTCTATCAATAGAAGCAATATCAAAAACCTTGTCAGCAATATCAACAACCTTGTCTATCCATGCTCCTTGTGATGGACTCTTAACTTAAAAGGAAAGAAACCTAACTCTAAAAGACCTCCCAGACCAACTCGCTTTGTTCTTCAACTTCAAATTAAATTGTTGGCTGGTGATCAACTACCAGAGGATAAGTTGGAAAACCGTGCCACCTGTTTAGGGTAAAAATACCCTAGACGTGTGGACCAATAAGAGGAGGCCACGAGTCAAGCTTAGGCTGGCCTAATAGCCACCTGACACGTGTCCCCTTCAGATAACTTCTGAAATTACGGCCTTCAAGGGCCCAAATCCCAAGAAGCGACGTAATTCGGTGCAGCCCACTAAAATCTAGGTCAAGTGACCTAGATTGGGGCACACCTACCAACAACCCTATAAATAGGGAGATATTTCCCCATTTTGGACACAATCAATCATTTTATTACACCTACTTTCTCTCTCATCAGAGAAAACACCTGAGCTTGGAATCCAAGCAGATACCCACCTAAATTTCCACACTCTTATTCTCTTTCAAGTTACTAACTTGATCGTCAGAGGCGGAGTTCCAACAACCAGAGTCTCCGTTTTTTTGCAGGTGCAGCTCGAGCCGGACCAATCTTTGTGACGTAAATCTCCCGAGGGACAAAAATACCCAAAACATTTGGCGCCGTTTGATGGGAGAGTACCTCAAGGATGGTTCAAGAGTTTGTACCACCTCCTGAGCGTCCAGTAGACCAACCGGAGGTCTTTACTACCAAGAGGACGATGATCCTCAAGTCGAATCATATATAGCCAATGATGCCTCTCTGATAACCAAGCCAATGATGCCTCTCTGATAACCAAGCGCATCCGGCGAAGCGGGGTGCACGCCAGGCGGGTACAAGTCGACCTCCCATCAGCCGAAAGGGGAAACCCATACGGCCGGTGGATATGTTCCAGTCACTCGAGACGAACTCATGAAGTTCATGACTACTTTCAAGGGTGAAATCAAGGATCTGATCACCAAGAGCCGGGCTGGCCCAAGCAAGGGTCAGTCGGCAAGGAAGACTCCTCTGGAGAAGAGGAAGTCAGTCAGAGATGGGCAGCCAACTCCGCATCCAAAGGAGAAGGCAGGACCATTGACTGGTCCAAGATTCTTCTGCCTAAGAGGAATACCAACAATACCCGCCGGAGTGAACAACTGGTGGGAAACAAGAAATCAACTCTTGATGCCCGGGAGATCATCACCCGCAAGAGGAATCAACAGTTGTCTGAGTCAGCTTCCACTTTAAGCTTCCCAGACAGCTTTAAGAATACATATGCAGGGAATTTACAATCCTTGCATGAGAGCCATACAAGCGGTAATACTGTCCATTCAGGCCCTCAGATGATTGGGAATGCACCGTATGTACTGCCTATGGTCTACAGCCCGTACTCTCCTCATTTCATGCAACCGGCCTTCTTCGAAGGTCAAGCCACTGGCAGCTTCGTCTGCTCCGCCTGGGTGAACAACCTTCTGCGTTCACCCGGGAAATAACCGAGGCGGCACAGCCGGCCAAGGTTAAAAATGTGTTGGCAGGTACTTATGATGGTACCTCCCTGAAGATCACCTCATGGCTTATACCAACCTCATGTATTTACAGGGGTTAGATTATGCCATATGTGTGTGATTACACAGACCTCAACAAGGAATGCCCAAAGGACAGTTATCCGCTCCCAAAGATCGACAGTTTGGTCGATTCTACAGCCGGACATGCCTTGATGAGTTTTATAGATGCCTACTCCGGCTTCCATTAGATACCCTTGTGGAAAAAAGATCAAGAGAAGACGGCATTCGTCACTAATCAGGAGTTATTTTGTTATACTGTGATGTCGTTTGGCTTAAAGAATGCGCATTCCAACGGATGATTAATACAGTCTTCATTAATCAAATTGGGAGGAATGTGGAGGCGTACATTAATGACATGATAGTCAAATCCAAGCAACAGACGGATCACCTTGCTGATCTCCGAGAAACCTTCACCACCCTCAGGCGGCATAAGGTTATGTTAAATCCCAAGAAATGCGTCTTTGGTGTTGAGTCTTGGAAGTTTCTCGGATTCCTGATTGATACAGGAATCCTGAGAAGATACAGGCGGTGATTGACATGAAGTCACCCCGCACTGTTAAGGAAGTACAGAGACTAACCGGTTGCCTGGCGGCATTGGGGAGGTTCCTGAGGTGACAAATGCCTTTATTTTTTCTAAGCAATCAGGAAGAAGACTAGATTTGAATGGGGGGATGATGCTGAGACGGCCTCTCAAAAGCTGAAAGAACACTTGCACTCTTTGCAAAGCCTTGTTAGCCCTCTGCCCAAAGAGATGTTGTACATGTACCTAGCCGTCTCAGACCATGCCCTCAAGACGGCATCCAGCTCCCGGTCTATTTCATTAGCCATGTGCTAAAAAATGCTGAACTCTGGTACCCCATGGTTGAAAAATTTGGCCTTGCTTTGTATATGGCATTCAAGAAGCTTATTTTCTGGCACATCCGGTTGTAATTTACGCAATCATCCCCTCAAGCGGTCAATGTCTACCTTGGAGTCATCCGGCAGAATGTTGAAATGGGCTATTGAAATGCAAAGTCTTGAAATCACATTTGAACCCAGAAAGGCAGTGACAGGTCAGGCGTTTGCCGACTTCATTGTTGAAATGACATGACCGGTTCCTCCGAATAACATTGATCAGTTTTGGAAAGTGTATGTAGACGGGAGCTCGACAAAGAAAGGCTGTGGTGCAGGGATTATATATGAGTCCCCTCATGGGGAAAGATTCGAGCACTTCCGTTTAAGTTTCAGGCCTCGAATAACGAGACGGAATACGAAGCCCTGCTAGCCGGAATCTGCATGTGTAAGGCTGCAGAGGCAACAAAAATTGACGCCTGCTCAGATTCACTTTTGGTCGTAAGCCAGTATGAGGGAATATATGAGGGAACTCACCCGGCTATGATCAAATATCTTCAGGCAGTCAAAGAGGAGGCTAGGGCACTTGAAATATTCTGTATGAGTCAAGTGCCCAAGTCAGATAACAACCAGGCGAATGCATTGTCCAAACTAGTATCTTCCACCTCCTGTGATACGCCTCGGTCAGTCTTTTGGGAAGTTCTAGGAAAAAATAAGTATATATGAAGAACTCATTGGAATCCTGGACCGAAGCTATACCTGGATGGATGGCATCCGGGTATATTTAACAGGCGGCATGCTTCCTGATTCACCGCAGGAGGCAACCGTCATGAAGAAACGAGCAGCAAACTTCAAGATCAGAAATGGAGAGCTCTTCAAGAATTCAAGACGGGTTTTCTTAAACCTTTATTTAACCGTGTTACCCCAGAAAAGGGGAAAGAAGTTCTCGAAGAATTGCATGCGGGATACTGCGCCTCCCATGTAGGCGGCAGGTCCCTAGCCGTCAGAGCGAGGCGGCATTATTTTTGGCCTACTCTTGAGTAGGGGTGTTCAAAAAAACCCGACCCGATTGTCCCGACCCGATTTCCCGATGACCCAATAACTACCCGATGGGAATTTTTTAAAAAAAAAAAAATTTTCGGGTCGGGTTCCCAACCCGGGAAAATTACTTGTAATCCGGGTCGGGACATGGGCCGCATATTTTAATACTCGGGTACCCGGATTTCCCGAAAATTAAAAACAAAAAAAAAAAAAAAAACCTCAAAATTTAGCCCAGCCCATTCAATATTTCAGTGTAGTGCAAATTAGGGTTCTCTCTTTTCCCACTCTCTCCTCTCTCGCCGTTCTCTCTCTCTTCCCCTTTCTCTCCTCCTCTCTTCCTCTTCCCCTCTCTCCTCTCTCGCCGTCCTCTCTCTCTTCCCTATCTCTCCTCCTCTCTTCCTCTCTCTCTCTCTCTTCATTCTTCTTCTTCTTCTCTCTCTCTTCCTCTCTTCCTCGATCTGCCGACTGCCGCCCTCTCTTCCTCTCTGCTTCGAAATAATTAGGTATCCTCTCTGCTTCGAAAGATTGCAAATTAGGGTTCATGCGAGTTCAACCCTTCACGGATTAGCCTTTATTCAAGCCTTCACGAGTTCACGCGAGTTCAAGGCTTCAAGCGACTCAATCTTGAGTTCACACGATTTCAAGCGACTTTAGCCTTCAATCTATGGTATTTTTAGGGGTATTTTAAATTTCGTTGTATTTTGTGGTAGATTTGAATTTATGTAACCCAATTGTTAGTATTATTGTGGTAATTGGACTAAATCCGTAGTGTATTTCGTTGAATTCGTGGTATTGTGTTTGTCCATGACTATATTCTTCATTGTTCAAGGAATTCAAGGTATCCGTAGTGTATTTATTTGTTTGCCTAGTTGTTTTTTTCTCAATTAGATTACAGTAGGATAAATACATAAAATTAAGTAAACAGTTATTTTAAAAAAAATAAAAAAATAAAAAACCAGGTACCCTATGTCCCGACCCGAATAATTCGGGTACCCGGAACCCCAGGTACCCGAGATATTCGGGTCGGGGCATGGGACAAATGAACAACTACCCGAAACTCCGGGTACCCGGGTTTTCGGGTACCCGAAAACCTGGGTACCCGGATTTGAACACCCCTACTCTTGAGGCAGGTGCTAAAGAACTGGTGAAGAAATGTGACAAATGTTAAAGGTTTGGCAAGCTTATTCACTGCCCGGATACTCTGACGGCAATCCACAGCCTAGTCCCGTTTGCTAAATGGGGCATGGACATCTTGGGTCCTTATACGCCTGCACCAAGCGGAGTTATATTCTGGTGGTTGTAGATTACTTCACCAAGTGGGTGGAGGCGGAGGCGAAGGCGGTTAAGAACATCAAGACTAAGGATGCCATCTCTTTCATTTGGAAGAACGTCATCACCCGGTTTGGGGTACCTATGTCTATGATGTTTGATAATGGCCCTCAGTTTGAAACGCTTCACCTTAAGACTTGGTTGGGAGATCAAGGGATCTCACATTGTTTTGCATCAGTCGGCCGACCCCAAGCAAACGGCCAAGTTGTTCAACAAACTCATCTCAGACAGCATCAAAAAGAAAATTGAAAGGGTCGGTGGCTTATCGGCAGAAGAATTGATTCATGTCCTATGGGCCATCTTGCCCATTGAACATTACGAGGCGACTCTCAGAGTCATCCTTTATGATGAAGAGGCAAATTGGGAGGTCATGCGGCTTGCATTGGACTCCCTCCCGGAACGCAGGGGCAATGCTGCCATGCGTCATGAGATATACCGTCTAAGAATGACGAGAGCCTACAACAAGAAAGTACACAAGCACCCTTTGAAAGTAGGTGACTTTGCGTTACGAAAAATGGAAGCAACCGGTAGGGCCAATGAGCTTGGAAAGCTAACCCCCAATTGGGAAGGCCCCTACCAAATCCATGAAGAAGTTAGGGATGGCACCTACCGCCTGAAACCCCAGACGGCAATGTCTGCCTAGAACTTGGAATGTAGATAACTTTAAAAAGTACTACTTCTGAGAATTGTAAATTTTTTGTAAACAAAAAGTCTATTAATGAGAAATCACGCTTTGTTTTCAATTGTGTTGTTATCTTTATAATGACAGATTATTTACTAAGCCAACTAAGTCCGAAACTTAGTGGCGAACTTAACGTCCAAATAACTTGCGGCAATGGCCAGATTCATAAACTAGGCACAAAAACGCTTAGCAACTATACAATCAGTCTCGAACAAGACCAAAGGCCAATGGCCGGATGGTTGCTTATATTACAAAACCGCCTATCTCGTTATGGACAACGGCGTCCAGCGACACCCCTCCGGGTGCAATCGTCGCAGAGAGCAGACTATGTCAGCTCTACGTATCTATGCAGACGGCAACGATTGAACGACCAAATTGGTCTACTCATAACCGTCTAATAGTCTACAGAACGATTTAGTTTTCGAAATACCGGAGAGTCGGTTTTCAACTGAAATTCTTACTTAGATTATTTATTCCAAAATTGCACTCTCTCCCAATTGGGGCAAAAGAGTTTTGTGTAACGGAATATTACCGCTTGGGTAAGAGGCTTGAAGCACCCGTTTTAATGGCCGGTTGTGCACTTGGTTTGGGGCAATCACCATTGTGATTGATTGGCCTAAAAACATCTCATACTTCTCCAAGTATCAAATGTTTTCAAGCCAATTAATCAATTTGAAATGAAACCAACCACACAGCCGTCCGCCACATGCTTTTTATAAGTTAGGCAAAATATCAAAGAATTGCAGTATATACGCAAAATTCAATTCAAAAAATTCAAACGCAAACATGTATAAAAAAGCGACTGAGTCAAAATACTTCATAAAATTAAAAATGGCACAAAGGCCAGAATAATTGTTATCCGGAATCACATCCGGTGCAGAAACAAAAGAAACAAATTGTCAACCCAACTCCACAATTGGTAAAATTACAACATACACGGCTTACAAGCCGGAAAAGAAAAATAATTAGCATACAGCCGCAGAATTTGGGGAGGCTGGTTCAAGGCTAAGGTGGAGGCTGCTGACCCGGCTGGTTTGGACCGGTAGGGAGGACTTCAGATTGATTATCGGCCGCCTGGCTGTCTTGGTTCTGCTCGTCCTCTGTCGGCTCCTCTTCGTTGTCTGAGACTTCATATTCCAGCTCTGCAGCCCAGTCTTTGAAGCGAGGCGGAGTTGCCTCTCCCATTGGGCATCATACACCGCAGTGGCGTAGTCATACCTAAGTTTGTAGACTTCAAAGTCTATATCCGGATAGAGGAGCCCCAAGGTTATCTTCTGGCGGGCTGCATTGTCCCACTCATTCTCCTCCTTCAGTCGAGTATGCTCCTTGGCGATCTCATCAGCCTGCTGGTTCCCAGGTTGACAATCTCCACCCCCAACCGGGCGACGTCTGCCCGGAGCTTCGTGTTCTCCTTATCAGCGTCCTCTAATGCCTTAGAGCATAGCTTAGCATCTGCCAATTTTTTATCAAGGTCATTAGCCCGGCTGTTGGCTTCATTGTTAGCCCCACTGCTTTAATCTTTAATTCACACACATAATTAGCATATTCGGCAGAGTTGAGGTTTTCAGTGGCCCTCTGTTTGGCGTCATTTACCTTTTCTTGTTTCCTGAAGGGGCCCCGGAGCCCATCCACCCTCAACATTATTAACCTGAGAAAGGGTAGCCGGAATATAAAACACTTGGTAAAATAAAAGAAAAATATCAGAATCAAGTTGAAGAATAGTTTACTTCCGCCAGTTGGCCTATTATCCGGTCAAAGTCCACTACCTGCATATCAGGTATGGAGTTTTGGAGTTTTTCTCAGACCGGGTGAGGGTCCTCACCATCCGTTTAGCAAACCCAGGAAGATCCGGCTCGTCGAATGTAAGATCTGCACCAAATGAAGTACTTGGTGAAAGGATGCAGCGTAGTTGGCATTCATTCGTTGCCGGCTGCTAACTGAACCCCCCGAAGGGTCAACCTTAGTCTTGACTCGCATATAGTCAAGCAGCCAAGTTCAATCTTGTTCTTACCTTGGGTTTGAGGATGGGGCTTAGAGGCGTCCTCCTCCCCAGTCGTTGCACCGGCTGCAACATTGGGTGGCTGGCCACCCTTCTTCGATGTCGTAGAGGCATCCGGCGCTTTCTTCCCTGAACGTTCTGAGCTTTCACTCATAATCTTCATGGCAGAAGGAGATTTGCCACCTAGGACGATTCGGATTGGCAGTAGAAGTTGATTGGGAGGGGTTCTTCTTTGCGGCCTTGGCAGCCGGAGTTTTGTCCAGCTCCTCCCCTTGCCTTTTGAAAAGCTTAGAGATGGAGCGTGGAACGCTTTTAGTGGCATCTTGCAAATAAAGAATCAAATGTTACCAGCCGGCAAAAAACCCTTGGAAGAAATTTAAAGGAAACAAGACAGTCAGGCGGTCTTACCCCGCCTTTCTTGGCCTCCTTGGCCTCGATGGCTGCTCTCTTAGAGAGCGCGCTTTCTTCGCGCAGCAGACTTAGCCAGGATTTTTCCCAGATCAACCATCTTCAAGGTAGGTGTCAACTGCAAGGACAAAATAAAAAGTTAGTGAAAAATTATAAAAAGTTTAAGTACAAAAAAAAAAAAAAAAAAAAAACAGAAAAGCCGGATGCTAAGTGGGTCTAACCTTGGGAAACATGGTGCTTAACCCGCAGGCAGACAGGAATCTTTCGTCCTTGAAGAAGTCCGGATGAGGGATCTAGTTTTTAGGCACAATAATATGAGTCCCATCCCCCAAGGGCTCGGTTGTGGTTTCAAAGAAACCCGGATCTATTATTTGCTCCCGCGCCCTAGAAGAGAATGCCGAGAGGACATTTCCTGCCAAGAGAACCGGTTCCTTATTGTACCGGCGCAGCGTCCGGTTGTGTCTCAGAGTGGGGGAGGAGACCAAATAAAACTTCTCCTTCCACCCGACAATTTGAACACTTTGTCCAAAGTCGTCACATGGTCGCCTGCTCAAATAGTGCATATGAGCAAAGGTGGAAAAGTTGGGGGCAATATTCTAGAGCTCGCAGGCGGCAATGTAGCTCAAAATATTCACCCATGAATTTGGGGTGAGCTGCCAAACACCTTCAGGCTTTTCCTAATCGCAGTATGGAGGGGGAACCGGAGGCCAGCTTCTATTACCGCCTCATGGTAGACAAAGTAGTTGTCTGCATTTTCTATGTTATCCTCCGAGGCCATAACCGCGTCCCCAGGCGGAACTATAATATCCCACCCCTTTCCAAAGGGGTGTTTTTTTTTAAGGCCCTAACAGCTATGTCACCCGGAAGCATTCTAATTGGGTCAGGTGTGGCTGAAGCTTTCGCCGGCTGCTGATAGTCAGCCGCAAAATTATCTTGATTGGAGCCAGATGCCTCGGCTCCCGATCTTTAAACGACCTCATTGCCGCTTGTCTCTTCTCAGACCCATTAGAGGAGGCGGCCTCTTCACCGTCTACCTCTCTAACACTTGAGCTCTCGGAGGAAGAGGGAGCCTCATCATCAGAACTACTCCTCTCCTCCGAATTCCCTTGTTCCCCATCCAGAACAATCTCGTCGGCGGGCACTTCATTAGCGCGCCAACTCTTAGACTTTCTAGCCGTCTGTTTTACTCTAGCCATTGTGTCCTGCACACACAGAGAAGGAGGAATTCGGGGATGAGCACAGCAGTTCCGACAGTCCAGAAAAGGCACCCCTGTTCTAGATTCAGCCGTTCCGGGACACCGGCTGAATGTCCTAGGCAGTGCCGAGTGTGTGGATTGAGAGCTCATTTTATTTTTTAAAGACTATATATACAGACGGAAAAAAGAATGTATACAACTTGAAAAGAAGGAAAAGCTAAAAATGATACAGGCGGTTACCTTACGTTAACTCTGGAAACTCTGAAAACTGCTACAGACGGGTGACCAGGTGTTGCAAAGTTAGCACATGGAAATCTTGAGAATTTGACGCAGACAGAACTAGAGAATCTCTCTCTAAAAATCTCTCTTTCTCTCTCTATAAAGTCAAAGAAAATGAAATAGTGAGAGAAGGGAGGGGGGGTAAACTTCTATTTATAGAGGGGTGAAACAGGGGCATCCCCGTCACACCCTAAATTTACTAGCCGTTTTTTTACTGTTCACCTTTCATAGGTTGACACGTGTCACAGGCGTCACGTGGCAGCCACGTGACCCCTATGAGGGGCAAATGTTTAGGGTAAAAATACCCTAGACGTGTGGACCAATAAGAGAAGGCCACGTGTCAAGCTCAGGCTGGCCCAATAGCCACCTGACACGTATCCCCCTTAGATAACTTCTGAAATTGCTGCCTTCGAGGGCCCAAATCCCAAGAAGCGCGGTAATTCGGCGCAGCCCAATAAAATCTTGGTCAAGTGACCTAGATTGGGGCACACCTACCAACGACCCTATAAATAGGGAGATATTTCCCCATTTTGGGGACACAATCAATCATTTTATTACACCTACTTTCTTGTTTAAGGCTTTCTGGTCTTACTGATTGGGCTACTGGGGGTATGTTTTATACATGGAACAATAAACAAGAGGGCAAAGATAGAGTTTGTTCAAGGATTGATAGGGATGTTGTCAATAATAAATGGATGGAGATGTTTGCTGATATGCAAGCTACTTTTCCCTGAGGGGTTAATGGATCCAGCCCTTGTGTGATTAATATCTTTGACTTGGTGCTCACACTAAGAAACCTTTCAGATTTGTTAATATTTGGGTGGATTCTCCTGACTTTCTGGGAAATAATGGTTTCTGGTACTCCTATGTTTCAGTGTGTAAGAAAGTTAGAAAGAGGTGAAGAAATTCTTGAAAGAGTCTAAGATGGGTAGATTTTCTTGTGTTGAAGTTGATGATGCAATTGCTGAGAAACATCTTGAGGACTTTCAAATCAAGCTGCAGGGTGATCCTGGTAATGAAGTTTTAATTAGCCGAGAAAGAATGGCTAGGCTGCAGTTTGCCAAAACTCACACTAAGAGATTTAACTTTCTGAAACAAAAAGCTAAAGTTCATTGGCTCAAGGATGGTGATATGAACACAGCTTTCTTTCATGGAGAAGGTTACAGAATAATATTTACTCTATTGTGAATAATGAGGGGGTGGTTACCGCAAGTGTGTGAGGCTTTTCTCCACTATTATCAAGGTTTTCTTGGCTTTACTGATGTTCAAATGAAGGGGAATATTCATCAAGGGGTTATTTTTGAAGGGAAAGTGCTTTCTGAGGACCCAGACATTGGTATTTGTAGAGATTTTTGTGAGCAAGATGTTAAGAGAGCTTTGTGGAGCATTGAGGATGATAAAGCAACCTGATGGGTTCTCTAGCAAATTTGGAGCTTGGTTAATCCGGACATTACTAAAGTTGGTCTGGACTTTTAAAGTCAGGTAAGTTGCTTAAGCAGATTAATGCCACTACCCTTACTTTGATTCCTAAGGTGGAGCATGCTAATATGGTCACTCAGTTTAGGCTAATTGTTGGCTGCAATGTGGTATACAAGATCATTTCTAAGATGATTTGTGAAAGATTGAAAGAAGTTTTGCCTGACTTAATTGATGGCTGTCAAGGTGCTTTTGTGCTTTTGTGACTGGGATGTCTATCTTAGATAATATTTTGATTTGCCAAGATATGCTCAAAGCTTACAATAATAAGAGAAAATCCCCTAGGTGTACTATTAAGGTGGATTTGAGGAAAGCTTATGATTCTATCAATTGGAGTTTCATTCATGAGATGCTGATTGCTCTTAATTTTCCCATCAAATTCATTTCCTGGATTATGCAGTGTGTGACTACTCCATCATATTCCTTGTTGCTTAATGGTGGCTCATATGGTTTTTTTAAAGGGAAAAAGGGTGTGAGGCAAGGTGATCCTATGTCTCCTCTCTTGTTTATCATTGTGATGGAATATTTGACTAGAATCCTCAAAAAAATAGGCAAGAAGAAAGAGTTCAAGTTTCATCAAAGATGTGCTCAGTAGGCTCTCAATCATTTGATTTTTTGCTGATGATTTGATGCTCTTTTCATATGGCAATGCTGAGACTGTCAAGCTCCTCATTAGAGCTTTGAAAACTTTTGAGGCAAGATCAGGGCTTCAAGCAAATTTGGATAAAACAGCAATATATTTTGGCAATGTTCAGCAGCAGGTTCAGAATAGTATTTTGGAGAATTCTGGGTTTGTCCTAGGTGATATGCCTTTTAAGTATCTTGGTATTCCTTTAAATGCCAAGTATTTGAAACTTTGAAAGTGACTGATTATGATAGACTTATTGATACAATGTTGGTGAGATTGCTGGAGCAATAAAAATCTGTCTTATACTGCTAGAGTTACTCTCATTAACTCTGTTTTGATGAGTTTGCATACATACTGGGCTCAGTGTGTTCTCTTACCTAAGACAATTGTGGACAGAATTAACCAAGTGGTAATGTTGTGCTCTCTAAATCTCCTCTAATTGCCTTGGGCCTGCACACATAAGAAGTTTGGTGGTTTAGGTATTAGAAATTGTAGAAACTGGAACAAGGCTGCCCTAAGAAGTTATGTTTGGAAAATAGCAAAGAAATCTGATTCTTTATGGTTCATAAAGGTTCATGTTGTTTACATTAAGGATGAAGATTGGTGGGATTATAATCCAAAGAAAGATGCTGGATGGGCTTGGAAACTATTGTGTAATGTCAAAGATGAGCTTAAAGAGGGTTTCATGACTGAGGGTTGGTTGAATAAAATATACAGAATCAAGGATGGCTATAAGTGGCTTTAGGGTAACATGGAAAAGGTCAATTGGTTTGACTGGGTTTGGAACCAATTCAACATTCCTAAACACACTTTTATCAATTGGCTATCAGCTTTGGGTAGACTTAGAACAAAAGATAGGCTTGTTCAGTTTAGGGCTTGTGATTCTAGTGACTGCCTTCTTTGTGGGGATAATATGGAAACTTGTGCTCACCTTTTCTTTGCCTGCAGTTACAGCACCAAGGTTATTGAGGAGGTGACTCTTTGGCTTGGCTTCCCCAAACTCTCTCATAGCCGGAAAGATTTGAAGAAAAATGGTAAAAACTGTATTCAACAGAAAGTGATTATGGCATACCTATCTGCAGTAGTGTATAACATTTGGATGGCTAGAAACCATGCTTTCTAGCATAAAGATGTTCTTAGGCCTGATCTTCTTTCAAAAGCAGTGAAGAGAGAAGTTGTGACTAGGTGCCTAATCATACGTGGAAGATTGAAGATTGTAAATGGCTGCAGCAACTCAAGACTAGCATTTAGGTGTTTTTTTGTCAATCTGCTGGTTGTATTGGGTGTTGGGTGTTTGATCTTTGTGCAGGTCTGTTTCCGGGGATCTCTTTTGACTTGGTTTTTTGATTCATAGTTCTGCTTTGCACCCTTCCTAGAAGGTGGTAAAGTTGAACTGTGAACCTTGGGAGTTGTTTGCCTTTTTTTGGCTTGTGTAGTTTGGGTCCCTGCTTGATTGTACATTTGTACAGTTTTTGTGATCTATATCGTCGGAGGCGGAGCTCCAACAACCGGAGTCTCCGTTGTTTTGCAAGTGCAGCTCTCGAGCCAGACCAATCTTTGTGACGTAACTCTCCCGAGGAACAAAAATACCCAAAACACCACCACCTCCGCACATTAACAAACTGCAGCACCACCAACACCCAACAAGTGGCAAACTGCAGCAGAGCTATGCCACCACTATACTAAACTACTAACACCTCTATATCATAGAAATCAAGTCAGTTTGATTTTTTTTTTTTTTTAAAAAAAAAACACCTAATGATAAGTTTCATTTATGTCGCTATGTTTAGGAGTTTTCTAGTTATTTTTTATCTTTTTACTTGGTTTTAATAACGTTTTACTACATTTGTCATGTTTATGTGTGAAATGTCGTTATTGCTCAATTTTGGCTTTTCTTGCATATTTTGGTGGCTTATGACATTAGATTAAACTTTATTGGTTTACTCTTATGTTTAGGAACACTTGGATAAGTTCATTGCTCAAGATTGAAGAAATATAAAACATAAAAGAACACATAATGAAGAAATGTGCACTTAATTTGCAAAGATCATACTTCAAATGCCTATATCTTTTGATCTACAAAACATTTTGGGGCGATTCCAATTGGAGATGAAAGCTTATCTCGAGAGCTTTTCAACGACAGGTCATATGCCCAATTCGGATGTAAAACGTGAGAGATATGCTCATTTGAAGCTGAGCAGTTTGCCCAGTCCGAGAGGAGCGGGTGCGCACCTTTGAGGAGCGCCCGCTCCAAACTTTCTGGAACGATTCTGTCATATTTTGCTGCAGCTAAGAGCGCCCGTGCACGAAATTGGAGCGCCCGCTCCTCTACGCGCTGCTCGACTTGTTGCGGAGCTTCCTAGGCAATTTAGTAATGGCTATAAATAGATTTTTTTTCTCATTTTAGAAGGAGGAATTCATTTTTTCAGTAGTTTTTAGGTTAGTTTTAGGTTTTTAGAGAGAGAAACTCTCAAATTTTGGAGAGAGAAAGTGAGAAACACAATGGTTTTCATAGATTTTGGATAATCAAATGAGGAATTTGATGATTTGAAGATCTCCATCTTATATCAATGAGCATTCTTACTCTCTTTTCTCTTTATGATTTCTTTAATTGCTTTGTTAATCATGTTTGAGTAGATTTCCTTCTACTAGGTGTTGAGTGAAACTTTGTAATGGTTAATTGAGTTATTTGAGATAAATTTGATGATAATTGTGTGATTAAATTGATTGAATTGATGATGGCATGTTGTTTGTTTAAGATTGGTTTGATCTCCCATGATAGCAAACTTGATTGCATATTAGTTCTAGTTTGACAAGGGATTGTGAATTAGAATTTATATATTTGATTGCATTTTGGGTAAATTTCTTCTATGCACCTAGTCAATGAGGGATCTGGGCTAGGAATTTGAAATATTGCTCTTGAGTGTAATTAATTCTCATTTTAATTCTTTCTTTGCATAATTCATTATCAATTGGATTCGCATTAACTTGTTAATTGTTCAAAGTGGATCTTTGCCCCTAGTAGACTTTATAATATCTTGGTCTTTATATGTGTGTTAGTGTAGTTGTAGTGTCCAATATCCATAAACCGAATTCGGCGTAGCTTAAGCATTAGATCGAGAACAATCTAACAACACCGTTCCTTGTGGTTCGACTCCGAACTTACCACTAGACTTGTTTAGGGGTTAGTTTAGGATTATAATAAATTTTGTTTGATCGTGAGGAGGTTAGTCAACGACCTAATTACCCCACGCTCACCTAATTGTATTGGGAGCAGTTTGTGTACAAAACCAGTAGCGTCAAGTAGCACTTAGGACCTAATACTTGATTCTAAGTGTTCAATATCAAAACAACTTGGCAAATAAACAATCCTAGCTTATGCATCTATTTGAATGAAAATGATATCATAAATCTCTACTTTACGCGTCAAATAAGTGAAAATTGTATTATCATAGAGTGCAACCAAAAAAGCAAGTACCTTTCAGGGGTAATATCTGCAAAGTTCTTAGGGGTCCATGACATTAGCAAATTGCCAGCACAAAGTAAGCTACCTTCATACTTGACCCCATTTACATTGAATCCAGTTTCGTCAAACCTATCAAATTGTTGCAATGAATACCAAAAGCCATGAGCTAAATGAAAATTGATGTCCAAAAAACCATGAATGAAATCCAAACTATACAAAGCATTAATGTATAATCAATCCAAACATCACTCAGTTGGGTAGATTACTTGATAATGCAATTATCCATTTGAATTTTGATATAGATAACCCAAAACGCACACAACCCTTTTACTCAAATTGCTGACCTTAAGTTAAACAAGTGGCAGCAAACACAACAAACCAAAATATTCGAATTATAACCGGTAAGTCCAACATATTCAAATTCAATATTTTTATATAAAAGAGAACACAATAAACAATATATCAAATTCAAGATTTAACAAATGTATAAAGGAAAAATTTACCCTTGAAAGCGGAGTTGGTCCTCAGGAATATTATCAATTAGATTGATCTGATCATATAGAGAGAAAGTGCGACGGAGTGAAGGCAAAGGTACAGTGACACGATGGGGTTTTGAGATATCCTTTCTCAAGACGTTCAACAGAGATGGCAGCGTCTTCCCCCCTACTGCTAGCTGCCTCAGAGCCATTTCCGTCTTCTCACTTTGAGCTTCGGAAGGGTGTCTCAGCTAAGGTTCACCAGAGTCCCATTAAAGGGTTATATAAACAAAAGTCTGCAACACATTATTAGAAACTAAATTTGACTGACAACGGCGGATCCAGGATTTCCGTACTTGTAAGTCACCATGAGAAAGTACAAAAATTTTACAGTAATCTAAGATGGAAAAGATTAAATATGATGATTTATCATCATTTCCCAACAAATAATTTTAATTTGAAGAAGAAATTAAAAAAAAACTTATGTATCATCTCCAATGATCGGAAACCACATTTGATAATTACAAGAACAGAAAAGGGAGGAGATGTAAAATATGAGATGTTAATGTAAGTCCATTAGCATTCAAAATTAGTCATCGCCAAAGGCCGACTAGCTTTGCCAAGATGGACTGCTTCTATCGTTTTTATCATAACAAAAACAATAATTTTAGAAGATTACTGGAAATTTTTAGCAGGAAAAAAATTGAAAAGATTAAGCTAATAATTAACAAAAAAAAATTTAAAGAATTAACAAAAATTCAGCAATTGAACACATTCATAGAATTCGGCAATTCAATTGAAGACATTACCACAATCAAATAGCAATTACTTAATAACCAAATAACCAATGCTACAAAAAAAAATCAATGAAACACAACGATGAACAACCAAATTGCATCAACAAAAGTTCAATTCGATAATGCAAATGACTGATATAATAAATAATTAAAATAAATAGCAAATAACAAATTAATTACTTAATAATTTAAAGTTTAATACCTTGCTCAATTGCTCTGACTTATGCCTTCAATTGACGGTCACAGATTCTGGTCACTCCGGTGCTCGTCTGGTCGGTGGTAAATGGCCGGTGGAGGCAGGCAGAAGGCGGCGTGCGGTGGAAGGCGGGATATTGCAGAATTGTGAAGGAAATCGGAATGAAGGGAAAGAGTGAAGCACTGAAGCAGCCGTGCGAACGTAGCAAAATCGTTTAGAATTTTTTACAACATTCGCATAAATTGTTTACAATCAAGAATACGAATAGCAAAATCGTAGCAGCGAAATCGCTGTTATAAGTTATAACATTTCACAATTCAGTAATACTCAACAATAGTTCAATATAATTAATATAGCTTAGAAGAATCCTAATTCCTAAATTGACCATACTGATATTAAATTAATGATATTGTGAAACAAAACCCTAATTGATAAATTGATATTCGGTGACCAAACAAATAAGCATCTTACCTCAGAAGATTCTTCAATGGAGGACGAAAAGCTCAGATGCCGCTTCAAGAGAGGAGAGAGAGGGAGGGGTAGAGCAACAAAAGAAAAAGAATTTTTTTACAAAGGTTTTGGGAGAAAGCTGAAACTCATCGAGTTACTTGATTTTATTAACTGATTTGACTAATTTATTATATTAACTGATTATATAAAAGTGTTTGGTAAATAGCTGATAGTTTAAAAGTGATTGAGTATGTGAAATGATCAAAAGCTAATAGTGGGATAGGTAGTTTAGAAAGGATTTTAAATTAAATGAGGTTATAAGTGTCATATCACAATAATTAATGAATAAGCTAATTGAAAAAGCTCGTAAAATGAGCTTTTTCAAAAAGAGCTTATTTAGTGGAATAAGCTCTTTCAATAAGCTTACTACCAAACACTTGTATTAGCTTGTTTGACTAGTTAATCAGCTAAAGTTAGTCAAATAAGCTAATATACCCCCAAAAGCTTACTACCAAACAAGGCCAAAGAAAAATTGTTGGGAATAAATCTTTTGGGCGTTCAAAAAAAATAGTCTTACCTTTGAGATATTTTCAAATAATCTCACCTTTATACCAATTTGGTAAGAATTCTAAGGCGATCAAATGGATGATTATGTAGTGATCATAGAAAATATGATCACCATAAGGCCAAAGTGGGCCCAATGAAGTGTCACCCTAAAAAAAAAAAAAAAAAAAAACCTCCTTTATTTTTTATTTTCAAAAATTCATTTTTGTAATTTTCAAAAATACTGAAAATCAATTTCCGGCGTCCGGCGTAGGCGGAAACCTCTTTAAATTACCGCAAATCGATTTCTGGAAATGGATAGCCCGATGGAGTTCATCGTATTCCTTGTGTTTTGGGTATGATAAATCTCGACAAACGGACTTTTACATCACGATTTCATATGTTATTCTATCAAATTAGTCTTTTTCGAATAGTGAATTACAGTACTTATGGCGTTTTATGTGCAATTTTAGAAATTTCATTAATGGTGGTCGAATGACAAGAGGGAGATGATGAACAGTAACAGTTTTTCAGTTGGAGCGAGGCATATAGTTAACGGAAACTTCCACCTCCGGACTAGGACAATACCAACACCCTACAATTTAGGGTATAGTAAAAAATATTTTAAATTATTCGGACATGTCCAACTTTGTACAAGGTATTTTCTAAACAAACATTACGTAGGATCTATCTATATTACTACGTAGTAATTACCTTACTATATATTACTTCCAGAGATCACAATTATCAAAGTAGGTGGTTTGTCCACAACCAGAAAAACAACCCCACCCCTAAGAGGAACAAAAAAAAAAAAAAAAAAAAAAAAAAAAAACAGCAATCACAATAAATCTACATACAAGCAGATAATCACACAAAAAAGAGCTACAGGGAATTGAAACAGGATTATAATGTTGTTTAATCAATTAAGTTAAGTGAATATGTCAGTGAAGAGTTCATGGTAAACTCTTGTATGTTTGTGTAGCAGCCCTAGAAACAGAGTTGTGAAGCATGTGACTGCCATCTTCATGTAGTGAAATTACAAGTGAATAACTAAACATATATACCCTAGTAAATTAAATGCAGCAAGTAGACAGGACAATGCATGGTTACTTATAAAGCAATAATCATGTCCAAACTGCCATTTGTAATAGCAGGAGTACGTATTATGGCACAGTCCAAACATACCGAGCCCCTTGTTTCTCTTGGAAGCATACCATAGCATGAAGAGTCTCCCTAAATCTAACGAGGAATAAATGTTGCGTACCTTGTAATTTGTTCCCATCTGAGACAACAAGCCAAAACGAAGCACAAACTAAAGAAAAATACTACAGGGTATGGAAACCTGCGAACCTAAAATGTGATGACTCATGTTGCTGGGATAAGGGGAATAACCAGAGTCTGGTGGGGGGATCTTTCCACAATACGAGCCTTTTCTTTTTCTTTTGATAGCCTCTAGTAACTGCAATCACATACCCATCTCAGTTTGTATTTTAAAATAAAATTAATAAAACGAAACACAAACAAATCTACAAGATGGTATTCACAAAAAAATGGACGGCTGCAATACGATTTACCAGTTTCAAAGTCTTAGATCATAACATATCTGTTCACCACAAACCAAAGCAAGCAGAATGTATAAACTAGTCCCCTACGTTGCACAGTCAATGATTATAAACCGACGTATTCAAAACCAAAATACGCACACGATACATTATATATATTATCTGAACCACATAGGTAATCTGCAAAGGCTATACAGGTCCATACCTATTGGATAATAAACTAAAGGGGTTAGTGCCTGCATTGTACAGGTAATAACCAAAGGCACCACAGACTTAATCCAAAAGCAAACACAACATAAAAAAATGAAGTCTCGTGTGTTAAAAGCTAAACAAAATTTAAATTATCATACCATAAGAAGCAGAGGACATCCTCCCAGTAATTAAGGTCTCTCTCAAGCCTTGAACTCAACTGTTGCATCAACCGTACTATGAAGCGCAAGCTTGTCAACATTACAACTACTAAGACCATCATCCCAAACAATGAGGTTCAGCCTTTTCACCTTCTCATTGGAATTCGGTCAGCAGAAGACCGTCAACCTATAAATATCTGTAGACACTCATTTGTGTCTCCCCAACACCAAGCCCGGTGATGAATACCTTTCACGTCAAATCATAATCGAATGAAATGAAAGTGTGGAAAGTTTAGTGTTGCGGTTAGTTTTTATTAAAATTCTCTTCTTTCTCTCTGTTTTTCGAAAACCTATTTTATGAAAATAGTCAATCCAGTTTATTTTGGTCCATGGCAAGGTTCCAATAATGGTGTAGTTGGATCAGGTTCGAAAAGACCTTTCCAACGATATATTATAAGTCCAATTCCGATGAATAATGAGGAAGTTATGGCCAAATTACTAAACTAGGCCCGACTTGATCCTTATATGCGGCCCAATGATCTAGAGGAGGGCCTATTATGATTTATCATTCCTAATGCGATTAGGACCGATTATAGTCTTCTAGAATCTTTTAGAAGGTTCTTTTGAATCCTAATGTGATTAGCATTGATAATTGAGTTTTATGAGTTTTATTTGGAATAAAAGAAGTGTTTTAAATGAAATTACAATTTTACCCTTCATACGCTTAATTTTATCAAAAATATGAAAACGTGTGGAAAATTGCCTGCAGCGCCGCACAACAAGATGTCTCCTGGCGTGCGACAGGCCCTGTCACGCAGCGACAAAGGCATTTGCGGCGCCGAAGTCATGTTTTATTCTTCTTGAAGCTCTGATTCTTTTTTATCATATTCCGGCTTATTTTCGTTTTAAATAGAGTCCTTAAATCTCCGTTTTTAATTACCAAATCTCATCAAGAAATTCTTGATATTCTCTCTCTCTTATTCTAAACTAGCTTTTTACAAACAAAATTCCGCATTCACAAGATCTAGACACACCTAGCCAAGTTCGAAGTTACCTTCTCCCTAGACGTGAAACGTTTGATATTTCTGAGGGTTTAGTCCCAAATCTAGTCTAAACTTTTTAATCTCTATTTCAATCATCTAATTTAATTGTTTGATTTTATTATTTTCCTTGAAGTTACTGACGAGTGTATTTTGTTATTAGAAAGAGGTATGAGGCATCCAAATAAGTGCTTTAATTGTTTATTTGATATTATGATATAAAAATCATGTTTAGGTTGTTATTTTGATTCCTAATATCATGTTAGGATGTCTTTCCTAGTATCATGTTAGGATGCCTTTCCAGTATCATGTTAGGATGTTTTATTGCTTCCTAGTATCATGTTTAGGGTGTTTGCTTATATCAATTATAATTTCTATGATGCTTCTTATTGTCTTTCTTAATATCATGTTAGTATCACGTTAGGGTTAAAGCTTTGATCTTTGTTGTTTAGTGACATGCTAGGGTTTGTTATTAATCTTGTTAGTATCATGCCTAGGATCTTGCTCTTATTATGCTTTAACATGATTATGATTGTTATAATTATTGTTATGATAATTATGATTGTTATTTTTATTATTATGATGATTATTATTAAGTTGCTTGATTTATATTTATTGTTATTGCTTGATCACACCTTTTATGCATGTTTAAACGGAATTGGTACATGTAATCACGCTTAATATGATAATTAATAATCTTGTTTAGGATAATATGATTATAATTCAAGTGATCGCCAATAATAGTTTTATTTGTGCATTAATATTCAACCAACATAGATTAAACAGGTTAAGGGTTAATCTAATGATTGCATGTTAGTAAGAAAGCGCACATGAATTCGAAAAGAATAAAGTAGAGGCCTATTATTAGGGCAGGTTCTTTCTCTTTTAGATTGGATTTTTACCTTCATCCCTGAACTTCCAGTCTTGGTTCCAGACCTATTGGAGTTGACGATCTCATGGATCGTTAAGGGGTGTAACCTTCACCCTGTGAACGGTTTACAAGTTCCTAAAACTTGTTGGCGACTCTTTTGCTCTAGCTTCCTTCCCTTTGGACTCCACCATGCTTAAGTGTATGATCACAGTGGGGTTCAAGTTTGGGGTAATGCTTGAAATATTCCCTACAATACCCGTAACTAACTACATAGCCATGGAACACCAATTTATCATCTAATAGAGCAATATCGTTCCTGGTAAGCTTTGCTTATCATTAGAGTTGTGTTCTTGTTTCAGACCTTCTTGATTGCTCTTAACATGTTGGCTATTCTCTGACTACTTGCCAAACATTGTTTCTTGTGATTAGCATTTAAGCCTTGCTTTTGTTGCTATAGCTGATATGAACAACTTAGTATTTCTGCCTTGCATGCACTTTGACTTAGGCTTACAAACAATGTCTCTTTTGCATGCTTAACTAATGCATGAATTCAACAAATTCTTGTAATTTCACAATCAGTGCATGCATCCTGCTATATATGAATTTGAGTGTCATTTGGACATATATATAACTTTTCAACCTATCATTACTTAGCTGCTTTCTTTTCAATTAGAATAAGTTTACTACTCTATACACAAGAGCTTGGGGTAATTACATGGTAAACTCAACTAAGACAATATTAGGAATAAATGGATGAGATTTTAGATTAATAAATTACTTATATTTAGCCATCACTATGAAGA